AGAAGAAGAAGAAGAAGAAGAAGAAGAAGAAGAAGAAGAAGAAGAAGAAGAAGAAGAAGAAGAAGAAGAAGAAGAAGAAGAAGAAGAAGAAGAAGAAGAAGAAGAAGAAGAAGAAGAAGAAGAAGAAGAAGAAGAAGAAGAAGAAGAAGAAGAAGAAGAAGAAGAAGAAGAAGAAGAGAGAATGAATGATTAATTGATTGATTGATTGAATTCTGACGCCATTCCTGAGCAAAGTGAGTGAGTTAGACCCAAGGAATCCAGGTGACGTGAACAACAGGAGAGAGAAGGGAAAATAAAATAAATTTGATAATAATAATAAATTAAAAAAAAAATCCCAGCAACAGTGTAGAGGCAGGTAGGAGCAGTGACAACACAGAGGCCAGTCCACGGAGGAATCTAGAGGGAGGAGACAGAGGAAACATCTTCAGTAACGACACAGTATCACAAAATCGTGGTTCCATTAAAGCTGCTCTTTTAAAGATACACTCATACAATTAAAGGTATTAGCAGGGTTAGCTTGATGTAGCCTTGGTGAAGACTGTCTTCTATTTTTGCTGCAAGCAAGTACGCAGCTAATTACACAGGGTTCTAAATGTTTTTGATCATGTGTATTTTCCTACAGCCAGTGCATCACTCATCATCCTAAATATATCCTTTTTCTATTCTGCAAAAAGTTTTGTTGAGTTTAAATAACAGTGCTGCCTTACACACAGTATATGTGTTTATATACTGTATATGTAAAAACTATAAATGTATGTGTATTTAATACTATTTATAAATATATGTTTATACATGTGTATGTATATATATAATTTGTTTATGTACTGTATACGCACTCACAATATAAATATAAATATATTTATACATACATATATACACACACATATGTTGTATATACATATATACATACATATACATACACACATATACATATACTGTATATACATATACATACACACAAATACATATACATATATATTCACACATATATATATTACACAGTAATTGATTATTACTGGTATTATTAACCAGTAATAATAAATATGTCTGTGGCTTTATCTTACATATATACATATACATGATACAGTAATAATTTCTTTTCTTTTTTTTTCTGCAGACATGTCAGTCTACAGACCTCACACACATGAACCTACCAGTGAGAGACGTTAAGACCTAAAGCCAGGCTGGGGGGGGGGGGGGGGGGGGGGGGGGCATACAGTGTGTTATAATATTAGAAAAAGTAACAAGTCTTTAAGAGTCTTTGACAGAATGTTGGGATGTAAGCCTTATCTCACCTCATCTGTGGGGTCGTAGTACTGCTCCAGGTAAGGATGGGCCAGAGCCTCCTCCACCTCGATCCTCTTGTGGGGGTTGAAGGTGAGCATCTTGTCCAACAGGTCCAGAGCTGCAGGACAAATACAACCACAGCGCACACACACAGAAGTTACAGTCACAGTGACCTGGAGCCCCCTCCATATGACAGTACAACAGCCTGCTTGCTGCTGAGACATGTGTGAGGAGGACAAACCATGGACAAGCACTTATGGTTTGTTGTTTTGTTTTTATTTGTTAAAAGGAAGTGGAGATGTGGAGAAATAGGAGACAGCCTGTGTTTGTTGATTTAATTTGTGAGACACTGATATATTAGCACCGGATTTGTTTAGTAAAACTGACTTCTCTCTGGAGGAGTATTACTAATGTGGTGAGAGCCACAGATTACGTCTGTGTACTTTCAGATGAATCTCCACCCTGGGGTAAATCCATTATCCAACAAAAAGGTCAGTTTCAGGGCCATTTCTTCCCCTGTTTGTCATGGAATCATCACGTTTTATTTTATTCTTTGAATAAACAAAGATTTACACACAGCCATTTGTTTTGTCTTCTGAGTTCACTGTTAGCTGTTGGCTAAGGAAAGAAAATCCTCCTGTTCACCGTATATACATTTTTTTTTTAATCCAACACTTCTGATATGTCTGTACTGGATTTTATTTCACACTGGTTTACATTTAAACCTGGGGGGAACCAGTATAAGTATAAGATTTTTAACATTCTTTAGCAGTACAACCAATACTAGTTTAATAGAACAACTGTATTTATATTATGAATAAAATCATATATATACATATATATATGTATATATATATACATACAGATATATATACATATATATATATATACATATACATATACATATATATATATATATACACACATATACACGAGTTAACAACGACTGCCAACAGCAGTGTTGACCTACAGGGCACTGGTGGAAATTGGACTACTGTTGGTCGAAGACAGAGAAGACGAGGACAATTGATTCGGACAAAAAGAGAAAAGAGGAAGAATAGAAGTGTTGGTATGAAGTTTGGAACTCTGAATGTAGGTACAATTATAGGGAAAATAGAGAACTGGCTGATATGATGGAGAGAAGAAGAGTAGACATTTTGTGTGTGCAGGAGACCAGATGGAATGGCAGCAAGGCTAGAAACACTGGAGGAGGCTACAAGCTGTTTTATCATGGTTCAGATGGTGAAGGGTGAAACAAGAGTCAGACAGGTTGATGTGTGTGAAGGTAGAAATAGAAGGAGAGATGATTAATGTTGTCAGTGGTTATGCCCCACAGGTGGGCTGTGTGTTAGAAAAAAAGGAGAAGTTCTGGAAGGAGCTGGATTGGATGATAGAGAGTATCCCCAGGGGAGAGGGAGTGGTGATTGGAGCAGACCTAAATGGTCATGTAGGGGAAGGGAACAGAGGAGATGAGGAAGTGATAGGTAGGTTTGGTGTTAGGGAGAGAAACTTGGAAGGACAGGCAGTGGTAGATTTTGCAAAGAGAATGGAAATGGCTGTGGTAAACACATATTTCCAAAAGAAAAAGGAACATAGGGTGACTTACAAGAGTGGAGGCAGGTCCACACAGATAGATTATATTCTATGTAGAAGATGTAATCTGAGGGAGATTAGAGACTGTAAGGTGGTGGCAGGTGAGAGTGTAGCCA